GCTGCTCTGTTACTGAGCACACGCTCTCTTGTTTGCTGTCTCTCATTTTGAGATAGGGTCGTCCTAAGTTGCCCAGACTGACCTTGAACTTGTATTGTTCCTTTCTTAGCCTCCCAACTAGTTGGGATTACAGGCCTGCATCATCAAAGCTAGACTGAGAGTTTTCAAAAAAGAAAAACTTTTTTTTTTTTAACTTCTTTTTCTTTTCTGCTTGCCTCTGCCTCCCAAGTGCTGGGATTAAAGGCATGTGCCACCACCGTCCAACTGAGTGTTCATATTTTTACATGTGTGTGTTTGATGGACGCACATGTCTGTGGAGGTGCATGTCCGTCTACCCCGCTGTCTTGTCTACCCCGCTGTCTTGAGAAAGGGTTTCACACTGAGCCCAGGGCTAGGCTGGCAGTCAGAAAGCTTTATACCCAGCTTGCTTTTTGGTTGTGTTTTGTTTGTTTGTTTTTCAAAGCAGTGTTTCTGTATAACAACCCAGGGTTGATCATGTTCAAAGGGGTCATGACCCACAGGTTGAGAACCACCGCACTATTGGGAAGTGGGAGGGGGACAAAAGAAAGTGAGGGGTAAAGGGGTTTGTTCCTTGCGGTGGTAAATGCCTTGAGACAGAGACAAGTGGATTTCTGTGAGTGCAAAGACAGTCTTGGTGTGGGAGGGCCTTCTGTCTATGTGTTGCTTTTATTGATTAATGAATAAAGAAATTGGCTTGGCCTATAGCATGGGAGGAGGAAGGCAGAGTTAGAGAGAAGCCATGAAGCCACTGGAGATAAACACTGGAAACTCTACCCTGTAAGCCACAACCATGTGGCAATATACAGATTAATAAAAATGGGTTAAATTAATATGAGTTGGCCAATAAGAAGCTAGAGCTAATGGGCCAAGCAGTGATTTAATTAATATAGTTTCTGTGTGATTATTTTGGGTCTAAGCTATCTGGGCAGCTGGGTACCAACAAGTAGCCTTCTCCAACACAGTCTGGTCTACATAGTGAATTGAATTCCAGAATAACAGGGCTATGTGGAGAGGCCATGTTTCAAAAAATAAATAAATAAATAAATAAAAATAAGGGGGTAGGGAATAAGATGTAAATATATTCTATACATGTATGAAAATGTCATAATGAATGAAATTCATGGTGGAAGTGTAACTCAGCAGTAGAAAAGCTGCCTAGCATGTGCAGAGCCTTGGGTTCTACCCAGAACTATAGAAACTCATATATTCTAATTAAAAAAAAAGACCATGAAGGAAGAGTAAATATTCTGATGGAGTTTAACCTAATTCATTATTTTCTCGAGTTGTTTCTAAGTCCACATATTGAAATTTTCCTTCTATTTTTCTCTTTATAAAAATCGGTTGCTTTGTAAAAATAAAGAAACTGGGTGGTGGTGGTGCAGACTTTTAATCCCAGTACTTGAGAGGCAGACAGGCGGATCTCTACAGAGTGAGTTCCAGGACAGGCTCCAAAGCTACAGAGAAACCCTGTCTCCAAAACAAAACACACACACACAAAACAAGCCGGGCGGTGGTGGCACACGCCCTTAATCCCAGCACTCGGGAGGCAGAGGCAGGCGGATCTCCGTGAGTTTGAGACCAGCCTGGTCTACAAGAGCTAGTTCCAGGACAGACTCCAAAGCTACAGAGAAACCCTGTCTCGAAAACAAAACACACACACACACACAAAACCAAAAACACAAAAATCAAAAACCAAAAAAAGTAAAGAAAATGGAAGGCTGGGAGTGGGGAGTTAGGGTATGGAGATGATTCATGCCTTTAGTCCCTGTGTTGAGAATGGGGGGGGGGGAGAGAGAAAGAGAATAAAAAAGAAAAAGAAAAAATGGACAAAGCATCTCTCCCCAAACAAACAAATGAAAAACCAGGCCATGGTTGTGCATGCCTTTGATCCCAGCACTCCAGAGAAAGAGGTAAGCAGGGATTTCTGAGTTTGAGGCCAGTGAGTTCCAGGACAGCTAGGGCTACACAGAGAAACCCTGTCTCAGAACATGAATGAATAAATGAATAAATAAACAAATAAATGATATGGAGACAAAAAAGCAAAGCAAAACAAAAAAATCTTGAGGAAGCTGGGCATAGGGATAAAAACCTGCAGTCCTCACATTTGGAAGGCTGAGACAGGAGGATAACTTGGCCTATGTAGTAAACCTGTGCCAAAATGACAGAATGATCAGGTATGGTGGCAAAGGTCTGTAATCCCAGGGCATGGGGGGGCGGAAGCTATCCAGTGAGCTAAAGTTCTTTCTTTCTTTCTTTCTTTCTTTCTTTCTTTCTTTCTTTCTTTCTTCCTTCCTTCCTTCCTTCCTTCCTTCCTTTCTTTCTTTCTTTCTTTCTTCTTTCTCTTTCTTTCTTTCTTTCTTTCGTTTATTTATTTATTTATTTATTTATTTATTTGTTTGTTTGTTTGTTTGTTTTTTCTGAGACAGAGTTTCTCTGTGTATCTTTTGGGGAACTCACTTTGTAGACCAGGCTGGCCTCACAGAGATCCACCTAGCTCTGCCTCCCAAGTGCTGGGATTAAAGGCGTGCGCCCCCACTGCCAGGCTTCGACCTTGTCTTACCAAGCAACCAACAGACAAAACAACTACCATGGCTAAAACCAAAACATAAACCTTGGGAAATGTTCATTATATAATGTGGCAAAGAAAGCCATTCCGGGGCCTGGAGAGATGGTTCAGCGTTAGGAACGCTCTCTCAGAGGGCTGGAGTTCAGTACCAGGTTGGGCGACTTGAAGCTGCCTATAATTCCAGCTCCAGGATTCCAGCAAGGTCTTTTGGCCTATGAGGATACTGATATATGTGAGTTTTGTACACACACACACACACACACACACACACACACACACACACATATTTTTTTCAAAAAAAAAAAAAAAAGAAAAACGACATTCCAGTAAACACCTGTTTCATAGAATTTCTGTTGAATTAGGAGCGGCAGGGCTGTGTCCCCAGCACCTGGCCGCCCGCATGGCTAGCTTATGCCCGAAATAATTACATGGAAACTGTATTCTTTTAAACACTGCCTTGCCTGTTATCTGTAGCCTCTTACTGGCTAGCTCTTACATATTAATCTAACCCATTTCTAATAATCTGTGTAGCCCACGAGCTGGCTTACCAGGAAAGATCTTAACCTGCATCTGTCTGGAGTGGGAGAATCATAGCGACTCCTTGACTCAGCTTCTTTCTCCCAGCATTCTCTTCTGTTTACTCCACCCACCTATGTTCTAACCAATAAAANCCCCCCCCCCCCCCCCCCCTCTAAATATTCCAATGACTCAGTTCTCAAAGGTTATTTCTGGGGAACAGGACTGCTGGAGAGGATCGGATGAGATAGGCAGAATGAATGACTTACATTTTTCATTCTAGCTTCTCCAGTCCTCTAGGAATTTATCTGTGCGTCACTCCCTAGTCAGAGAAATCGCCCCCTATGAGTATCTTCTAATCCCACGCTGGGACTTGTCTACCTCCCATTGCAAGGCTGTTTTTAAAATATAACTTAATTTTTGGAGAGTAGGTCTGCCTATGATGTCCTGGCTTATACTGAAGGAACTCAATTTGTGACGCTCCTCCTGAGTGCAAGGATTGATTTCGGGTGTGTTCCACCAGGTCTCTCTGAAAGATGAGCTGCTTTTTACGGGCTAGTTGTGGGCACCTGAAGGATCCATGTGTTGATTTGTGATAACGTTGCTTAGGCTTCATTGAGGACAATTTAGGATTTAAAAACAACAAAAAGAAACAAAAATTTACCAGGTGTGGTGGCACATGTCTTTATCCCCAGATCCCTGGGGGAAGAGGCAGGAGGAGCTAGTTCCAGGACAGGCTCCAAAGCTACAGAGAAACTGTCTCGAAAAAGGATTGTGAGCTTTTAGACAGACTAGAGACTGGATTTGGCGGAATGCGACAGGTCGGGGTAGTGGACAGAACGGAGGGTGATTTCAGGAGAAGCCAGAGCAGGCAGAGCAGGGGCAGATCTTGCTGAGACTTTCAGGTTGTGCAGACGGTGCAGGGACCTCGGCCTAGGCTGTCAGCTGGGAAGCTGAAAGGTCTCGCCATCGCCGCTGCCCTCCGCCTTCCAGACCCGATACCCTGGACTGCCCACCCTTGGGCGCTGCGCAGGCGCCGGAATGCCAGCAATCGCACAGCAGGGTCGGGGGAGGGACGCGGCCGTCGCACGTGTCCCGGGAGCGTGCACAGGACAGGTGCGGGCCGCTGCTAGCCCCAGACCGATGCTCAGCTCGGCCGGTCCCGTTCTCCCGGGAGCCGCGGTGGGAGAATTTTCCTTTGGACTCGCACGATTTATTTGCCACATTAAGGTTAGGAACTCAGGCATAGAAACATGGAATGCGCTATGGAAACAGACCTAGACTGCAGGGCCCAGGAACCCGGAGTCAGCACATAAACACCCCGTGCGCGCACGGGCTCTCAGGCCCCAGAGAGGCCCCCGCCGGGTGCGGTCACCCGGCCGCGTCACGTGACCGAGCTGGACGGTACGGCTAGCAGGCACTGCGCACGCGCAGCCCCTCTGCGCCGGCTGACATATACTTTTTTTTCTGCTTCGGTTGGGTGCACGCAAACACTGTCAACTCCTCCCCGCTCCGCCGTCTTCATCTTCCCTGACATTTACTCCTTCCTCCCCCCCCCCCCCGCATACTGATGACATCAGGACGACAGGCGGGCGAGCCAATCAGAACGCTGTGTTCAGGGGCCGGCACGCGGAGCCCGTTGCAGCGGGCCAATGGGGAAGGCTAACGGCGGGCGCGCCTCAACCGCCTCCTCCCGGGGCTGCCGCTGGCCCAGTGGGAGGCGCTTTCCAGTCAGCATGTGGGCGGGGGAGGGCGGGGCCCGGTCGCCGCAGAGGCGTCTACGCCGCCGTCGACGACGTTCCTCAGTCTTCGGGGTGGGCTCGGCGGCGCTGGCCGGCCGGGGGACGCCGGGCGGAGAGCGGCGGGGGTCGGAGCTAGGTCGGGTCGCCGTGGGCGGGCGGTAGAGGGGTGCGGGCGAGGCCAGGGCAGGGTGCGGAGCCTTCGAGCGGGGTCAGGGGGGGGCAGAGGCCCCGGGCTGTGCGGGGCGGGCGCCGGCTCCGCGGGGCTTGCAGCAGAGGCCTGGGCCGGCCGCTGGGCCCCTTGTCCCCGGGCTTGTTGACGACGACGTTCCCGCGGGGGCCCCGCCTGAGGAGGACGCGGCGGCGGCGGCCAGGCCGCGGGAGGCCGCGGAGGATGGAGGAGCGGAAGGAGGAGGGCGAGGCGGAGATTCAGGAGCACGGGCCCGAGCACTGGTTCTCCAAGTGGGAGCGACAGTGCCTGGCCGAGGCCGAGCAGGACGAGCAGCTGTCCCCCGAGCTGCAGGAGGAGGCGGCGGCCGCCGCGCAGCCCGAGCACAAGCAGCAGAAGCTGTGGCATCTCTTCCAGAACTCGGCCACTGCCGTGGCTCAGCTCTACAAAGGTGAGGCCGCGCCGCCATCTTGGCGCCGCCCCGGCCTGCGGAGCTGCCCTTCCGCCCGGCTCCCGGCTCGCTTCCCGGGGCCCGGTCGCTCCCCGCACCCTGCGGGCACAGCTCGGCGGCGGGGAGGGGACGGCCGCGCCTCGGACCCCTTGCCATCCGACTCGCACGACGCCGACGGAAGAGCAGCCCTGGGAGGGGGAACGACGAGGAGACGTGGGGAGACCCCCCCGACTTGGTGTACCCCTGAAGGGTGGTCCCCACATATCGGTCCGGGTGCCCCGGCCGGATCGAGGGGAGAGGGGAGGAGTCCCTGTCACAAAATGGCGAAGGAGGCGGTGGGGCGGCCCTATTGTGCCCCGAGTCGGCCTCGGGGCGGAGACTGCGAGGGGCGCCTCCCTGCGCCTGCCAAGCTGCGTTTGCAGCTCCGGCTTCGCTGATGTCAGGTTCCCCCTCCTCGACCCAGTAACTCCGGTCTCACGCTCTTTTGGGATCCCCAAACCCCGAAGAAAATGGCGAAACCTAATATGGCCGTTGCGGAGTGACTGACGCCCAAATAACATTCTCTTCTTTCTCTGTGTCCTTGTGTGTGTCTTTTTATCTCCCCTATTGTTTCCCCCCCTTTTTATTTCCAGACCGAGTGTGTCAGCAGCCAGGACTTTCTCTCTGGGTCCCCTTCCAAAACGCAGCCACCGCGGTCACCAACCTCTACAAAGGTAAAGATAACCTTGCTGCATTGCCAGGCTAAGGGGGAAGGGAGGAAGGACGGGCCGCTTCAGATTGACGGCTGACGTTCTGAGTGTGTGTTCTGTTCTCAAGTCTAGCTTCTGCTAACCTTGAACGCTTTGCACTTTGAGGTTATCGTTGGTGTTCTGGCTAGATGGCTCGAGGCAATTTTTGACAGTTCTCCGCCTTCTCCCTTGGGGGACATGTGACAGTGTCTGAGGGACACTTAGTTGTCATCCGTGAGCGGGGTCTGCTGTTGGCATGTGGTGGGTAGAGGCTGCTGATTATTCTGTAAGTGTCTTGAGACACCCCCAGCACCTACCCTTTTTAGCAAGGACTTAATTTACCAAGTCTTCAAAGTGCTGAGATTGATTGAGACGCTCTGCAGTGTGTGTTGTTTTTTTTTTTTTTTTTAAACCACAGAGGGGATCACCGACCCTTGGAAGATTCATGAATCTGGCCTCTTAGAGCATGGTAGTTTGAGAGCATTCAGTGAACTCTTGCTGTTTGGATTAGAGTTGTGCACGCTGCCCTGTCTGTAGCAAGTTCCTCAGATCTTTTTCAAAACTACTTTGTAACTGAGTATATTGCTGGTGTCTGAATGAGAGTTTTAAATGGCTTTGTGTTTGGTGCTTTTGGAGTTCATTTTCAGATCTGATTGAAGGTGTACAGGGCTTGCCATTATACTCTTTGTAACAGTAGACTTGACTTTGCATTGTTACAGCTTTGGGAATATCCTTGTGATAAAATTAATTTGGATTTGATTGTTAGTACACATGTTGCTAAAGTCAAAGGCTTCAAACGTTTAAAAATCCAGTAATGATAATAGAAATTTGTGCAGTTCAGCAAATAATAATTTAGGTTGGAAGATTATGGAGCATCTTTAGTGTCAGGATCTTTTTGTTGTGTTTTTTCTTTTTGTTTGTTTGTTTTGGAGACAGGATTTCTCTGTAGCTTTGTAGCCTCTCTTGGAACTTGCTCTGTAGACCAGGCTAGTCTTGAGCTCAGAGATAGGTCCGCCTCTGCCTCCTGAGTGCTGGATTAAAGGTGTGCCACCACTGCCTGGTGAGTGTCAGATTCTTGTTGTCAGCATTTTGTAAGAGTTTTAGAGTATACTTGGCAGCTTGAAGGGACAGTAATTTTGAGAACTGTTAACTGTAATGTTAATTTAGGGAACGAGAAGCTTATAGTCCAGTCTTACTGAAGAAACAGAAACTATTTATTGACTTTTTTTGCTTTTGTAAGATAGGGTCTTTTTCACTTTGTAGCCTAGGCTGGCATCAAACTTGTGGTTCTCCAGCTTGTCTCTACAGTGCTCGGATTATAGGTGTACACCTCCATGCCCTGCTAGAAACATAGTTTACGTGATTACTGGTCAGCTTTGATTTTTATATAGCTGGGTTTAAAGTTTTAGGGCAGAGTGTTAGGGATGGAGTCTAGGGTCCTCAAAAATGCTAGGCAGTTAGATAGCTGCTGAGTCACAACCCTAGCCCAAGTTTTATAAGTTTGACTAATGAAAAAATTGATTTTTAGCATCTGTTGGTGCTTGGGTTCTTGAGCATTCTCTTTGGATAGCTCATGGTTTAAATAGAAACAGAATTTAGAACTAATACTTAAAATTTTACCAAATTTTAATTCCTTAGTGTATAATTTACATACAATAAAATCGCCTTCTAAAAATGTGCCGTTTCATTTTGACACATACATTATTAGCAAATAGAATATATCTTCCCTTCCAGTCCCTGGCAACCAGATGGCTATATACTTATAAAATAGCTACATCAATTTCACATTGTGTAGGGTATTATCAGCTCACTGCTTTGCTTTATTTTTTTTTTTTTTTTTTTTTTTTTTAAGATTTTATTATGTATACAACTTCCTGCCTCCATGTATGCCCTCAGGCAAGAAGAGGACACCAGATCTCTTTACAGATGGTTGTGAGTCTCTATGTGGTTGCTGGGAATTGAACTCAGGTCCTCTGGAAGAACAGTCAATGCTCTTAACCACTGAGCCACCTCTCCAGCCCTGTGCATGCTTTTAATCCCAGCACTTGGGAGGCAGAGACAGGCAGATCTGAGTTCAAGGCCAGTCTGGTAGATATCCTGAGTTCCTTGAGAGTCAGGACTGTGGTAATCTGCTGGCCAGCCTGGTCTGCTCTGTGAATTCCCTGTCCCTTTAAGAGACAAGCTCTACTCACTCCCAACCTCCCTGCCCCTTCAGCAGAGGCAAGGCAAGCAGATCTCGGACCTCCTCTCCAGTCCTCTCTCTGTCTGTCCTTCTTCTGGAGAGGCTCTCTCTCCTCCCCTTTCTCACCTTCTCCCCTTCCCTTTCCCCTCTACAACCCACTAAATAAACTCTATATCCAAACTCTCTCTGCATGGCATATCTATCTGTCTGTCTCCCTCCAAGGCTACCCCCCAGCGGACCTGCCACTGTCTCTCATGGGACTGGTCTTCCACCACCCTTTTATAAATGATAACATTGGTGCATGACTCGGCCAGGTTCTCTCCACATTTCCTCCTGCCTGTAGGCAGGGTGGTTGAGGACACATGGGGACCCTGGACTCTGACCACTTTTCTACATCCTGTGCCTGCTCCATCCCTTCAAATGATAAGGTCTCCTTTTCCAAGTCAGCTTTTGCTGACATTCATCTCTGGTTATTCCCTATGGCTAAGGATGGAGATTTGGCTCCTTGCTGCTTGGACTTTTGTCCTCTCTTAGGCTGCTTGGAGTGGTCCTTTCTGGTCCCCAATTTCTGTACCGAGGGGTCTAGAATTGGCTTAACCTAGTCTTCGACCTTCACATTATCTGGAAGACGGTCTGGTTAAGAGCCATTGGGTCCTCATCTTTCTCACGCTCTTGCCTTGGGAAATACTCCCAAAAATATCTGTCCAAGCTCCCCCCCACCCCAACAGACCTGTAAACCTTTGCCTTACTTACAGATTTCTAACCTTACCCACATTTGCACTAACAAATGGTCTACGTACCCCTTAAATAACAATCTAAAGTGGGAGCTTTCTAATTTCTGCCAGCATCACACACCCATCCGCTTGCCCTTTCGCTTGGCAATCCCATCCCCACCTGCCTGTAAATGCTCCTTTTCTTGCTCCAATTCCTTCTATTCTCTCTCTGCCACTGCTACAGCTGCTGGTCCTGCAGTAACTGGCAAAACCGGCCTGATCTGAGGCGGCTGTTCCATTCCCAGCCCTCGCTCCCCACTGTAGCTGGCAGCAGGTGGCTGTGCTGAGTAATGATCCTGTCTACTTCATGTATGAAAGAGCATGTAAATGTTGTGGCCACACAAATTTTATTGTGTTTTAAATGTATGTTCTGCATGGCTTCTATGTCTCTCTTGTTATCTGTATTTGTTTAAAATTCTCACTGTGGTTCTTAAAACCATTATTCTCCATACAACATGTGATCGCTGCCATTTTGACTAAGGACAGGTCAAATGACCTCACCACCATCTTGATTAAGGGCAGGTTGGATAACCAAGTCACTATCTTTACTGAGGTTTTCCTTGCCTAATCTTGTGGTTTACTTACATTTTTGTCTCTAAATTCCTCTTACTGACTCTGTTATGTAATGATCTCTTCTGTCCCTTTAAGAAACAAGCCACGCCCCCATCTTCTGAGACAAGCTGATCTTCAGCTTCTAGCCTGAGTCCCTTGTTTTTCCTTCTGCCTCTCCCCACTTCTCACCTTTTCCTGCCCCCTCTCTCCTCTCTCTCTCTCTTCTTCTCCCCTTCCCTTCCATACCCACTAAATAAATACCCAACCTGTCTGTCTCTCACCTGCTGCTGGGAACCAGCCTTCTTTGGAGACATGCAGCATGGTCTCCTGCACTGTCCCTGCCTGGCACTGGCTGCTCTCGGGACCTTCTGACTGCCTGCCTGCACTTTGGGGACCTGCAGTATGGTCTCATGTCCTGTTGTCCACTGCACTCACTGGGATTCCGCAGCATTTTTACTTTTACCATTACATGTTACATGTGTGTTTGTGCAGTGGCATGCTTTTTGTAGGACCCACCACTTCACCTAATTCCTGTTTAATAAATATATGTGTCTGTGTGTGTATGCATATGACTTTCGAGTTAACTTTATGTATAAACATAAGTTAGCTTTATACTTTATACTTTAACTCTGTGTGTATATATGTATAAAACTTAAATTCAACTGGGTGTAAATGTATGTATTCTTACTGTTAATTGTTATAGTTGTCTGTTCATTGGATCACATTCCAGACTAAGAAAACAATAAGTCTCATGTTTTAAATTGGTATGTACTCTTACCTCTCTTACAAAAATACTGTGTATGTGATCCAACTCTGCTATAAAATATACCAAGCTGTTCTCTACTACAGTCAGTTTTACCGCTAAGCTTCTATTGCAAACAGTTTTTTCTTGTTTGTCTTTCACAAGTATAAATCTTTTTTTTTGTTTTTGTTTTTGTTTTTTTTTTCTGAGACAGAGTTTCTTTGTAGCTTTGGGGTCTGTCCTGTAACTAGCTCTTGTAGACCTCTTTCAGAGGTCATGAGTTCAATTCCCAGCAACCACATAATGGCTCACAACCATCTATGATGAGATCTGGTGCCTTCTTCTGGCATGAAGGCATACATGCAGGTAGAACACTATATACATAATAAATAAATAAAATCTTAAAGAAGAAAATATTGTTAGCATTCTTTCTTTTTATTGTTAGCATTCTTGAGTATCTGGCTTTTGTTAGTTTCTTATCTGTAATTTCAAACTAGCAATTCTCCTGCTTTAGTCTTTGTAAATGTGTATTATTATACCTGGTCCATGAGGATAGATGTTTCTGGCTTTACACACACACATGCGTGTGCATGCACACACACACACATACACACCATATGCTGGGATCACAGATGTGTACTACAGCTCACATTTCCCAAGAATCTTTTTTTAATATTTCAAAATTAGTTTTGTGTTCATTTTTATATGTATGACTGTTTTGCTTACACATATGTAT